AAGTACAACTGCTGTGSAATGGCACTAACTAGTTTTGTCTTTAGTCACAGAACAAGGTAAAGTTCTCAACACMGTCGAGTGYTTTGACTTCAAGGAAAAGAAATGGTCATCCACAGCACCAATGATCATAGCAAGAAAAATGGTAGGGTCTGCGATTCTTGATGGTCAGTTATATGCCGTTGGAGGTGTCAACAATGACTATGCAGACCTGGTGACTGTGGAGTGTTACAGTCCTTGTACMGGGCAATGGACATCAGTGGCTTCCTTGAATAAATGCAAAGGTAAAGAAATCTTTCCAATATATATACTAATCTTCTGTAGGAACAATGTTAAAGGATTATCCCCTAAGATTCCCGAGGATGAAATTAAGATKGATTAGGTCCGAACTGATGTGTTATTTATGGTTTTTGTCCTGAAGGGAATAAAAAATCGCTGCAAAAAACGCATCAGCCTTGCTATCAGTCAGGAAGGTGAACTGATGCTGCATGGGCTCCCAGATCCGAATTTGAAAGTGTTGTAACAGATCKTTTTAGAGTACTTAAAATAAAACAAAATAAAATAACCACTGGTTTGTCTTGGTAGGTTCTTTAGCAGTAGCCGTCTTGGAGGGATGGCTATATGCAGCTGGTGGATCACATAATGGTGCCGCTCTCAAAACCGCCGAACGCTACGATCCAATCAGTAACGAGTGGACCCAAATAGCATCCATGAGACTTCCCAGAAGCCATTTYGGTCTTGCCACACTACAGGGCCGCCTTTACGCAGTTGGCGGATATTGCGGTATATCAGAGATCGAGCATGTTGAATATTACGAYCCCATGTCTAATAAGTGGGCCGACGTGAATGGTTTAAACAAAGCMAGGATGTCACATGGTACAGTCACGTACGGCGAAAGAATCTACGTGATTGGTGGAACTAATAGTATCGGAGTTTTAGACTCTATAGAGAAATACAATCCTGATTTAAACCTCTGGTTGATAATAAGGAACACTATGGACCCACGTAGTGGCGCAGCTGTGGCAGCAGTGTATTTCGGGAACGATGGGGCACAGGATTTGTAYATTATTGGGGGACATGATTATCACGGTAGAACAGCGAACTCTGTCAAGAAACTAAACTTAAAGTTTGCTGATTATTCTACTGCATCGGCTCCATCTCTCATATTGTCTAGATCCTTCGCTGGGGTAGCATCAGTCTAGCACCGCTGAAGCTAGAAGGTTGGACACAGGAAACCCATCAACAACTAATTGACAACAGTAGTAGCCCGTGCAATAAAATGACTGAAGCTAACTGCAGATATTGTGAACTTTTTCTAACAACACAGTTTTCTAATTCATAATAATAAATCATTTCGAATTCACTAATCTTAATGCCCTCCTGTTTTTAGTGGGTTTACTGTCGTTACCTGAGTAACTAGTCACAACAGAAAGCCCAATGTCTTTTTTCACTTGTTAACACAATGACCAATCAATCTCACTGACATGTCGATTTTATTGCTTTAGTAGAATACAGTTATCTAAAATAATAAACAGCACAGAATACTTTTGCAAAACAAAAATATTTTATAAGTACAATTGTTAAAATTCCTAAATAATAAAAAAAAACAATTTTATCAAATATATGCAAGTGGTCTTCCCAAATTTATTGAAGTGACACTCATTCCCTGCAAATCATTTTAGAATTTCAAAAATCCCTTAAATTTTAAACTACAGTATTTTATCATTGTTGTTTAGGTGCAATAAAAAAATCTGTCACGTCACGCCACATCACATCAAAATGATAACAATAATCAAAAAGTTTGATTACTTTTTTGATTACCTCACTCCTCTCAAACAATTAAGATGTTTTTGATTCACCTTGGGTTTTAGTTTTTCTTTCAGTTACCAACAAAAAATCTGTATCRATTGCTAATGTTGCATGCTGCAACTGATGTCCAGATCTATAGAATATTAATGCAAATTACAGCATTCACAATATTCCATACTTAGGTTCAGTAGCCAATAAAAAAGCATCAAACCAAGGTGTAACAATACACAAAGCACACAAGGTCTGTGTTCCTTAATTCCTCATGTCAATGCTTTGTTTGTGATCAGTGAGCCTGAGTGAGTGGTGAGAAGACCCCTTGCAGTTCATGKGAATGCTATGGATTCTAGTTCCCAAGAGAGCAAAAATCTTTTGTTTTGTCCTCCAGACAAAGACTTTACATGCAAGGGATCTACATTATAGAATCCAAGAGATTCTAAACTGTGAAATGACTGAATTAACTGACTATTGATGGTTTTCAACCATTCCCAGGAGAGAAAGTTAAACAAAAGATGTCCGCCATTGCTGGTGGACCTGACAAAAGAAAACCACCACCGTGACTGGTGGACCTTTTTGTTTTGATCACTCTCATGGGAATGGTTGAAAACCATCAATTCGCCTTTGAGATTTTCAGCCTTACAGATTGGCTTCTTTTTTACAGTACAGAAAGAAAGAATTTAGTTTTCCAAATCCGTTTCAATTTTTTTAGTGATGCAACTAGTTCAGAGGTTTAGAGGTAACACTTAGTGTGCATCAAGTTTAAATGAATACTTTACAATGACAAATATATAATACTGTACCTACTGCTGACTATATTAATGATAATTATATCATTGATAGTATTTTAATGTCTATCATATCACAACTGATGTTGTCTTACAATATCTTTATACATTTGTCATAAGTGTACTTGCATAACACTTGTTGTCGACTCAATTCCTAGCAATGTTCAAATCTGCTTGAGCATCTTCCAACTCTCTCTTTAGGAAAGCTACTCTTTTCTTTTCACGTGATAATGATTCTAAAAGGATAAAATCATTATTATTATTGGTACTTCCCAGTAGGCTAAGAACACGTGCAGATTAAGGTACAACAAAAACAAAACAGCTTTATTTAATCAGGAATGTAGAATTAATTTGTATCAATATTACTAGAAAAGCATTAGAAAACATGGGAAGTTCCTATGCAAATGTTTACCTGATAGTTTATCAGCCTGCATTTGAAGCCTTTTAGCCTCTCGTTGCGAATCATCTGCACGCAGGATGGCATTTCTACGGCGCAAATCAAGATCTTCGATTTTATCCTCCAAGTAATCATTCTTTTTGAATCGTCGTTCTGTTTTTCTTTCAAAAGTATAGAGTGCTTTACAAGTGGAATGAACTTCATCYTCAAGAGCAACRATCTTATTTTCATTTGTTTCAGCTCTTTCAACRGCAGCCTGTAAGTTTGCTTTGCTCTCATTGAATCTAAACTTTGCCTCCTCCAACTTGATCTCTTTCTCTTCAACAATTCTWACCACATCAGCAACTCTATCCTCTAGTAGAGCAATTTGATCACTATGCTCAAACTCCTTGGATTCCATTCCTTTTCTATCTTTCTCACTATCATCTGCTTCAAGGTTTTTTGCTTGTACRCCTAATGATATTTGATAGGTTTTATCATTTATCTTAGCAATTTGTGATTCTATCTCTTTTATGCGATTTTTCAGTCCATCCGCTTCCATTTCAGCTAGAGTTGCTCTTTCTCCTTGGCGTCTCAACAACTTTCTGAAATATTTTTCTTTGATATCAGCCTTCTCGATCTCTTGTCGGGTCTGCAAGACTTTCCTCTTCAGACTCTCCATGCTTGGTTTGTCTGTAGACTAGTCCAGTAGTAGGTCACCTAATGAAAGGCAAAAACTCAATGAGTATCAAGATTTAATGTACTGTATTATGGTCCCAGAGACTTTTTTCTCTCTTTGCCATTGTTGCTGGCAAAAAAGCAGTGCTTTTTACCAACAGCAGCAAAGAAAAACAGTAAAATTCAACCTCTCTAGCAATAGCGAGCATTTGTACACAACTATAAATTTGCATGTTTATAGAAACAGCCACATCCAAAGCTTATAAAATGCTTGACCACTGAAAAGCACTTGACTGACAAAAGTATATTGCAAAGTGCATAAGACATCTATTTGTGTAGMAGCTCTAACTATCATAGGCTGTGTCTACAAATGATAAATAAATCAAATATACAATGCAATCAGAGTTGTGGCATATCAAATAACAAAATGGCAAAAATCCCCGTCGTATCAGCGATGACCATCAATATGTATTACAAGTACTATGTACATATATTCTCGACGATTCTTCCCTAGTTATTACAACAAGCAGTTCAGAATAGCGTCGAGCAAGCACGTCACGCAAACTCCACAAGGAAAACCAATTTATTGGCTTCGAAGGTTGCATACCAATTCACATAAAATCACCTTTGAAAAGAAAATCTATGCTTGAATTTAAAAAATGCAATTCTACATCGGATATCTCATGTGGATTATACAAAAGATTTGCTTCGATTTCCATTCAGACGCGATCTCTATATCGAGACACTAGTCGAAGCAAGAAATACTGGACAACAAAGCGTTCCCAAAAACCATCGAAATATCWCTTGATACAAGCGAGATGTCCATACAAATTCGATCCATACATCAAWTATTGTGTCAGTAGCTAAAACCAGCGTTTTTAACATACCTGAGTTAATATTTTCAGCCAGTAAAAACTCAAAATACACCACACCTCGGACAAGACTATACAACAGAATCCATGAAAGTACACCCTTCTTCATGTACTATTGCGCATGCTTGATACCGCTGTACTTAYYTGCAGGCGCGAGTRGGGAAGACCAGGCGCACAAATTTTAWWCATTGTAACAACAGGGCTCCTGSTAACAACAAAAAATAATGATTTTATCGACACTACCTAAAGACTAAATATAATTCTTTTTGACAAACTCAGTCTTATTTTATACTATATTTTGTATATAGGTAGGCATTATTTAAAAACCTGACGGGGCGTGCCTGGTCATACCGCCCGAGTCCAAAAAAACTTATCAAGGATCAAAGCGATCAAAGCAACAAAGGGGAAACCAAAACCACAGAAAAAAAAACAGAGATTAAATTTATTTTTAGATCCCCACGATTCAAAATTGCGTTGGCGAGGTCAGCTWARACAAAAACAAAACGWATTCGCGAGTGGGCTTTTGAAAAAAAGGCTATTCAAATAACACTAAGAAAGATATAGAACAAACAGAAAGCTATATATATATCAGTGTGCTGTATTTATAGAACTGCAAATATTTTGCACAATTGCCGTGAAACRCGTAAATTGGACAAGGCTGGCTATAAACAAAGCTCTTGACATTTATACAAACAACGATTAAAAATCTATAAGTGGATGAGCAAATAAAAGACGGTCACCTACGTTCTACGGTACACGTTTTCTTGAAACCAAGTAGCTCTCTCTCGCCGACTGTAACTCGTTGGTATATGCGTAAAGTAACACAGCCGATTCATAAGGTTGGCGGATTTCTTACTGGTAAGAGACTTGTCTTTAGAATTCCTTTTCCTTTTCTAGTAGCTAACACAGATATTTTTCGCTGAATTCACTGTGGCGACACTATCGAGTGAGTGCGAGGTCAGGACCGTTGCTTTTTTCAGTGCGCATCTGGTGCGCGACTGGTAAAAATCAGAGTTAACCAGTAACTCCAATGAAACAGTCGCGGTTTACATCCACTCAAAGACAAGTGTCAATTACAGGTGCTGGGCTATCTGTCTACACACACTACGTGTGGTCATGTCGCGATGTGCTATTATGAAATATCGTGTAACACGGTTCGGTATGCGATCAATGCTATCAATGTAACAGYTATCTCTTGAAACAATGACAGAATGTCTTATCGCGCATAATAACCACACAAATACAAACACGCGCGCACTTATTTGCCTACGCCCATATATGGGCAATATATCAGACGGCGATCCCCTTATTATAGATACTGTAATCGATAACCTTTCGCTAATCCGAGTGTCGCACGATCCGCTCAATGTGGGAAGCAGACAATTCTAAAAATGCAAGAAGGGTATTTTTAGCACCTGTTCTTGAACCTACACGAAAAATTGCTAGAAGGCGAATACAGAAAACAAGGTGTGTCTCTCTTTTTCTACACAGACAAGGAATGCACGATGCTGGAGCAGCCCTGTTATAGTCACTTTTTGCGGCGTGATTACTTGCAGAATATCCGTAAAAAGAGTTCTATGGAATACCAGTTATGTAGTATGTTTGGTAGTTACAAACTAGTAAGATATCAATAAACTAAGATTTCGTTGGCTCACGAAGAGATTACATCGAATGTTATGATGGAGTGCCTACTTTCTAGAGAACTGTGCATGAAGCTTAGCTTCAGCTTTCAGTTAATCTAAGGATTGTRGGCGTTCGGTCAAGAGAAAGAGTCCAACTCATATTAGTTGTTTTTTAGTTGTCGTGATGTTCACAAATTGTTTTTCAGACTAGTTGAACCTCCCTGCTGTCAGCTAATAGACAACAAGTGCCGATATGTTTTTAAGTCTGATGGATTAAATATGAATTCTACGCAACTCTGTGGGAAGAACAAAACAATSTTGTTTTTTTCATGTTACAAAAGGAAACGACAGCCACCACGCAGTTGAGATTGTTTGAACTTCTCCCTTCCTCTAGYGAGGATTACATTCGGCCCATTCGGAAGAGAGTGCGAATTCAATCTTTTTGCACTCTTCACGACYAATTATTCTGTAGAACAGTGCGCACTTTGAAGAGCTATGTTGACGTTGTTATAGATACATGTTCTGTGCTGTCTGTTGTAACGATGGGAGATCATAAGAACTAGAAATTAAGCTTTTATCGTGTAATTTGCATCCTGCTATTATTATCGCTGCAAGCAGAGGCCWTCCCCTGCCTCCCCCTCCGCCCTCGCCTCAGTTAACAAGACCAGGAGAATGATACTCATCAAAAACTCATTCCCGTTAGCAGTGTTTGGTGATTAAACTATTTACTTTAAAGGWCCTGATTTTCATGTTTATGATCTGGAAACGTTTCGGGTTCGCTTCACTTGTGTTTTTCGGCCACTGTCGTTAGTTGTTCTTWGCATGTTTGACACAATTATCTACTCTTTATGTATTAATGTTTCTCTTTTTAGCAGAAATTATTTCTAAATGTCGAGAACGGAAGGTTACTGAGATCTCTTCAACATAGATGTGTTTTCGTTACGTTGTTTTCCGTTCMMATGAAGATAGACAATACAAAAACGATACGRAAATCCAACGAAAACGAATGTATGTGGGTTAAACCWAGAGCCAGCTAAAAAAAATCGTATCACAGACGATCTCTGTGATTTATGTGAAATTTCTCGCCGAGGGCAATGACGATTTGCGACACAGTGATTTTTCAAGTAGAACTGCGGTGAAAAGGTTCAGTATTGATTAAACAGTGTGCACGTTTATCGCCATGTTTTCCCTCTTTATCACATTTGTAGACATGTAACGGTTTTACTAAATATTGACCTCGTCGCTATCGCAAATTACATCAAACCTTTTAACAATAGGAAGGAACAAGTTGACCTTCGACGTTTGTTAGCTAACTGTCACTTGACGAAAACTCTTTTGTATTTCAACCACACGAATCTAGTGACTGCTGGAACTATGTACAGCACAATCAAGTCAATCAGTCAGTGTTGAGCTTGGCTTCACAGCAGGAGTGYTGTGCAAGGTTTTGGCTGTGAAATTGTCCATTGCATATATGAAACACTGTGACAATTACTTGTCAAGGAACTTAATCTGATTATAAATCCTTAAAACTTGTAGCCCGTGGAATCTCGAACGGAATGACAAACATCTTATCGTAATTGCAATCGTCTGACCGAAAATGGTAGCTTGACGTCATTCGCGCATTCCGACGCGGCAGCGAATGRTTCTRMCTGACAATATTCCAGAAGAAAYCTAACGACCAAAGGTCGGAATTCATTTCGGGCATCTTCGGAGCCCGAGTTTAAGATAGTRTACGTACTGCCGTCCATTAACGCCCACGCTCTGCACGTTGACTGGATGAAACATATAAATATGTGTGACGATCTAAAACGCCCACAAGTTGTTTGAATAATGACTTTCACCAGTCAACCGAGACACATATAAGCTAAGACCAGTTCAGCTCACATGTTACGTAGATCCGGAACACTAGAGAATTGGTTTGAACTAGCGTGAGCCCCGTGACGTTATACTTATGACTTGAAGCAGCAATGTCTTATGTACCTCGTTTTCCTGCATATGAAGGTAATATTCCAAGTGGTTTTGTCCTTCTATTAGTACCTTTTTATTCATAAAAGCTTCAAATTGTTTACGTATAACTTACATTATTTGTTGGTAACAACATGAGCGCAAAAATTACGTTTATTTTCAGTTTTGTTACAATGCTTTTTGAGTATTTGATGTGACAAGAGTCTCTGCCTTACGGTCTACCACTAAGTGCCTTGCATGAAGTTTTCTCGTTATTATTGTTGCTGACCATACAAACGTCAACATGGATGGCAATACAACTAACATTCCTAAGATACGAAATACAACATTTAAGCAGGTTATATCTTATAAACATGCGATGTACTGTGCAATATTATATCTATCAATAGAAAAAAACTAAACTCGATAAACCYGTGTTAATGAGTTAAAATGAACASTTTCGTGCTAGCAAAATTGCTATCCTTACGTAGGATTACCTAACTATACCGATAAAATAACTGTTTGTAAAAATCAAGGGAATCATTAACTCTTTACTTTGTAAATATAACTATTATTTAAAAGACGCATTATATTAAAGCACGCTATAATACCTCTAGTGGTAATCTTACTGTATAACCCTCCTTATATAAAGATTTCTGATCACATAACGTATACGAAAAGCTTAAAATCTTCATGGAAATACACGAAGCCACCTGAATTTAAGACAAGCCATGCAGACTTAGCGTGGGTGKTGAGAATAGCTACACCATTATGTAGAATATTATTCAATCGCCCTCACAATTTGACAAAAACATATGAAACATCCCATGACAACCTTTGTAATTTATTCTAATCCTCCCGGGATTGCACTGTTCAAACCCCGGCCGAAACCTGGCCTGTGTGCACCTTGCACTAGCCGGGTATCTTCCTAGATGTAACGTCGAATGCTGTACGTGAGCTTTCAAAAGCAACCATTATCACATTCAACCAACGATTTTATCTTAATCGACTTCGAATTAAACATGTATTTAAGTTGTATTTTACGAAGGACTATTTAACATACGAAATGCCAGGAAATCTTTTCTTTATAATTTACAGATAGCACTCTAGCAAAGGAGATGAAATACGTTAAGCAGTATGTTTTTAATATGTCTGCGGAGTGTTTTTTTTATTTCAACTTTATTATATTGAATATAGCTTTGCAATAAAAGTGCACTTTTGGACGTGGAGGAAATCACTGAAACAAGATGGGAAAACTTTTACTATTAGAACGGAATCATGAGATGAATTTATATATATTTGACAATGCAACTGAAAGGAATAGCTGCGAGACAGTGAAAAAGTCACTCTACCCCCTAAAACACTGCTCAACGATGAACAGTGCTAGATTACATCAATGTCTATATACCCTTCGTACAACCGAATAGTGAATAGTTTACAGAATGCACTTGTTGAGTCTCTTAACAATTTTACTTCCTCATATCRTACTGAAGACYACCCCTAAACCGATWGTGCCGCAACACAGACGTCCATTCAACAGAGTTCCGAATCGTGG